TATATATATATATTATATTAGCACAATTAGACACCCACATGGTTGGTCCTAAGGGGGAAAAAGGCAAACCGCCTCAGATTTGCTGAGGTGTTACCTCAGCCAGGAGCTTTATCGCAGAGCCATCGACGCCGCTGATGCCTGCCTCAAGCTCCTTAGATCACGTGGAAGTTTTGGGCAGTTGGCTTCTGTAGTGAACATTGGTTCGAATGTTGCCAATGTCTGTTGGATTGGTCTGGGCCATATCCCTGCTATCAGAATCAATGCAGAGGGCTTGTTCAGAGCTCCGCAGGGCCTGAGGAATTCTGCTGCATCGTGAAATGTCTCTGACCTGCTTCTGACCTGCTGCTTGAGGGAAGGCAAGGATTCTGGGTCTAAGATGGTCTAAGCTATTCTACAGGCCCCATCAAGCCCCTACACCCGGGAAGATTAACCTGGAACCTGAAAACGGATCTTCGTGTGTCTCTCCAACAAAAAGAGACGGCATTTTAAGCATATTCTCACATGATTGATTTCAATGCTTTGCTCCTTTGTGTTCCCAAAGGCCATCCCTGATGATTGATCACCAGCTGAAGGTAGCATGAACCCCTAGGTTTTCTTGAACATCCCGCTCGGTGACGTTCCAATTTTGTTTTGGGCACTTGAGGCTGGATCCCGAGCATGTGAAGGCTCTTCATCGGCGAAGCTTGGAGAGCCCAGTGGGCGGCGTTCCATCGTTCCAACGAGTCGACTTGTTGGTACCTCGGAACATGGGGCCCCAGTCGTACCTTTTTTTGGGCAGGTCATGCCCCCATTTTCCAGAGAACTTGAAGTGGGGTCCAGGCCCTCAAATACAAGGCCTTTGGTTCGGGTCCGGACCCCGCATAGCAGGGCGCCCGACCTTGATCCCCGGCATTTAGCTTGGTTTTGGTAGCCAATGTAGGTCTACAGCCTACATGGAGCTTTTGGGACAATGGGACGTCCCAGTTGGACCCTGAGAAGAGACAACCAAACACAGCCACGTGGTAAGAGATGCTGTTACGACTCGCTCACAACCCTCGCCTCTCGCCTAGGCGGCACAGATGCGTTCTTCAGAAGTGGGTCTTAAGCAATCTTAAGCAGCGTTGCTTGGGAAGAAAGGTCTAACTGTAACTCTAACATGATCCCTTTTTGAAGATAATGGAAGGGGAAAGCCTATGCCAGCCTGTGCCTTAAGTCATGGCTTGGGAAGAGGATCAGCGCTCGAAGCCAGCCCAAGAAAAGCGCCCCTGGAAGCGGAAGTGCCCTCAGAAGCAGCCAGGAAGGAGCTGTTCTAACATGTTGCTCGGGAAAATTCCTGAGGGCCCCCAGCTGGCCCCCTTGACTTGGTTTTGGAATGTGTTTCTACTGTATAAATTTGTTATTGATGATGTTTCTCAATAGCAACAGACAAAAAATAGCTTATGCTTAGCTAACCATGTTCATAAAACACTGTTGGGTCAGCTGCGGGTCGAATCAACAAGTCCAATTTTCCTGGCAGGTTTGGGGCATTCAACTGTCACACTGGTTTTAACTGAAGGCTTCCCAGTGTAACAAATGACCGCCCACACTGTCCCAGGTCTCTCAGTGTAGGATTCTACGGGGAAATGCTTGTAATGAGTGTGTTTTTCTATTTTTTAGAAGCTCAACTGAGGCTCAACTGTTATTTCGCCAGTGTATAATATCCGCTGGTTCTTAGGCCATACCCTTTCACATTGACATTCGCCAGGTCAGGCCTTCGAGAAGATTCACTCCTACGCGGCGGCCTTATTGGATCTACGGGAGCTGCGAAGGCAGGACCTCGTCGACTCCGAACTCACCAGGAGCCCGGACGCTTACGTTCCGGGCCTCCTGGCATCGCTACGAACGGAGCAAGCACGCTACGAACGGGGCTCCTGGCCTTACTACTATAGGAACAAGAGGCGGGAAAGACATCGTTTCGATGTCTTTGGGCCGACATCAATGGATGTTCCACACCTGCATCAGATCTAGACGAAAAACCATCAGCTGGTGTATGAAATGGGCTGCATCAAAAACAGGTACCTGCTTCAAGAACCACATGCAAGACAATCCATGAGATGTCATGAACACTTGCACCCAATCCCAAACCAGCAAGACAATCTATGATGACAGAACTGCGTCAGTCTCTCGTGATCGGATGTCATGTGTGTTTCATGTGTTTTGTTTTAGCCCGCACGCTGTATCATCCCTCTTTCCAATCATCTCACTAGATCTCATTAATATATATATATAGTCGTATCAAATGACTCACATGGCTGTCAACCCAATGTGAAAAAGAAGCAACACAACAGGAAAAAAGCTGTTTGACCTGAACCCAAATAGACCGCAGAGATCTAAATGGTGACCGCGTCCAGGCTGCGTTCGCTGTTTTTTCATCCAGGCTGGGTGGCCTCTCCAAGGAGATGTTAGATGCGCGTTCCGCCGAGCTCGAGAAGAAGCAGGCGACGTCGCTCGCGATTTCGGCTACAAAAGCCAGCCCGATAGGCGAATGGCTGGTTTTGTTAGTGCGAACGAAGTGAGAATTGTGGGTCTGGCAGGGGGAGCAGAGGAGTGCTGCTACGGTCTCACAATCCCTTCGGTGCGAAAAATCTTACTTTAAAAGCAGTATGCCAGAGAGCTAGGCGGAAAACAACGATGCTTACATCTACTTGTAGATGTCACCTTATTGAATAACGACCATGTTGAGAGCAAACTCATAGGCACGAATGTTTTGCCTCGAATTTGTGTTGCCCGTTGTTGGCCTCTGAGGTTCTCAACTTTGCGGGGCATTCCTGCTGTCATGTTACCTTGGATATCCCCCTTATTATTTCCTTGGATATCCATTTACTAGACAAAAGTGAGTGCCCCGTTTTTTCTAGTTAGAGAATGGTCCATCCAGGTTCACCTTGAAATATTAACGGGGATCCTTATATTCTTTGTGTAGCTTTGTGGTTGAGGCTGTTTTGTGCCGACGGTGCAAGGTTTGGTTTCTCATGTGTAAACCATGGCACTTCTCTTGCTTCGGTGTTGAAGTGCTCTTCACCACTTTCAGTCACAGCAGTGTGCCCATTGTGGTCTTTGGCTGTTTTGCACACTGCTGTGGTGATTCGTGTGTTCCATGGCATTCTTCTTTTTCCCCGCCCGCCTCCCTAAAGGTCCAGAATGGCCTCTCATCTTTTCGAATTACAACAACAAACACACCATGTGCTGGCTTTGATCTTTTAAGCAAATTACTGTACTGTAGATGACTGTAGCTATGAACTTCCAGGTGTTTTGACAGACTGCCTTTGTGCATTTCTTATTTCATTTGCTCTGCTCATGTAACCATAAAAGGCCCCACACTAGCATAAACACCCCGCCGGGTTCGTTACCGGCCCACGTTTTGGTTGACTTCGTGCGTTTGCACACGGCAAGAAACAAATTTTAGCAGCGAAAACGGATCGCCGAAACCAGGTCATCGTTTCTTGAGAATGCAACCCTTCCAGGGTTTTTGTCCGGAAAACGGGACGGTTCTTTTTCGAGGGTGTTTGAGTGTTTGTTTTAGAGCTTTCAAACTGCTGCCAACCTTTTGCTTTCCCACATTCAGAGCAAGCGAAGCTGCTGCGCGGTATGCGTCAGTATCTTTTGGGTTCCGACCTCCCATCACCACTGAAAGGATCGACAGTTGCCAACTTTTTTTCAATATTGAAGAGTCCCTTAGAGTGATTGCATTGCCGAAGGACCAAGCCCAAACGCTTCGAAAGCTTCTTGTAACAGGGTGACCACCGATGACCACCGATGACAATGTTATGAAACCGATGACAACCTGTGGTGAAACCGATGACAATGTTATGAAAACGATGATAATGTTGTGAAACTGATGGCAATGTTGTGAAACCGAAGATTACATATCGTGAAATCGATAGCGATGTTCTCAGCATGACATCCACGTCCTCATTCCATCACAACCCCCCCACCCCCTGTGTTTTGTAGGGTCCTAGGCTCCCCTAGGCGTGTCGATGCTATACGAGTGTAGCACCTGTTGTCCGTAGTTACTTGTACATACCTTCTCTTCAGTCAGCTGCCGCTTAATTCATTTGGCTCAAGACTTTGAAGCCCAATACCTGCACTCCGTGCTATAGAAAAGTGTGCTCGCCGCGGCTCGCACACTCGACACACGAGAGAGGGTCTTACTTGGTGTTATCGATCAGGTCCAGTGTACTTCACTGCCACTTTGAGGACCTTACCCCTCACCCCCCCACCCCATTTTTAACGCACGCACGATTCATCGATGACAACATCCATACACCGATGACAAGAAGCCGATGAACACGTTGTGAAACCGAACATTACATATCATGATATCGATGAATGCAAGCATAAATAACCCAAAACGTGGGCCGGTAGCGGAGCCGACGGCATAAACACTATGCACCTACGGAAGTATAGGGGACATCAAGTTCCAAAGCAAGTTGCGAGTTGCTATAGAAGTCTGGAGTCCTACATAAGTCCAGCAAATCAGTTTTTGGATGTTTGACCTGTGACTTGGAATCAACTTATGAATGTTGAACCATGTTGAACCTATCCTGTGTTGCTTTTGCTTGCTTCTGACTTGCCCATTCTTCGCCCGTTTGAATAGGTCTTTGGAAACAGAAAAGCCCTGAATCCATCTGATTCCCATTCGCCCAAATCGCCAAAAATCAACTCCTTCAGTTTTTCCATCAGGCTGCGGTGGAACAAGTTGCCAGGGAAGCTGCCGAAGACAAAGCAGATGACCCAGCAACTCGGTTTTTTTCGGACGCAGTGAATGGGTTCGCGTCGGCCATTTTGGGGCCTGTTGGGGACTTGGATGAGTTTGGTGACAAGAAAAGATTTCCTGTCTGGGTGTCCAATGGAGACCTTAGTGTGGGTTGTCCAGACAGGTGGCTCCGACAGGAAGCAGTTAGTATTGCGTTTTTGTATATATATGTTTTTGTTTGTTTGCGCTTGGACGTTTGGGAATAAAAGTTTGGCACGTCCTGTTTTCTTTCCTACGGGGCCCAGGTGTGTTTCTATCCGCTGTTGCTGGAGTGAAGCTTGTGTCAAGGCATACCATGTGGGATTCTTGGATTATACTTGGCTGACTCAGCTGAGTTATAGTCAACTTGAGCGAAGGAACGTGCAAGTCACCTGCGAAACCGTTTGGAATTCTTGGGATTGGAGACACCCCACTAAAATCCGTTTCGGAGCTGTGAGACTTGGTTGTCTCTGTTCGATTAGTTTAATTGGGTGACATTATCTGTAGTGTCATTCTTTTTGGGGCGGACCAGTGGTGTCCTCAAAGAGGCTTTCTTTGTGTTTTGAGGGGCCCTCCCCTTCTTTGCTTTTTGGTTTTGTCTTTGGCACTCGATCCAGAGTGGTCGGTGTCAGTCTGCGCGTGAGATCGTCAGCGAGAGAGGTAGAACAGGTGGAAAGTTCGGTACACCTTCACGTCTCAGCTTTACTGGCTCGGAAGGGCAGGGGACTTGCATGGATTTGTCGGTATTTTTTGAGGTTGGAAAAGTGCCGGTCACCCCCTCTCCGCGTGTTTGGAATGTCGCCATCTTTGATTTTCTAGGACCCGGATGTCAAGCTTGCGCAGCATGTTTTTGACCGTTCTTGATGTGTAATTAGGCCTTAAATTTATCCCTTTGTTCCCGAATGCATAGCGAAGGGTTCTCGTTTAACTCTAGGGGTCTGGGGGTAGAGCCTTGTTCGCGACCCGTTGTTTCTACGTTCGCGACCGTCCGCAACCGTTCGCAACCGTCCGCAACCGTTCGCAACCGTCCGCAGTAGAGCGCTAAGGCGCTGCCATTGGGGGAAGCTTTTGGAGAGGGTTTCGGATGAAAACGTGACGTGTCAGATTTGTGTGAAATAGCGAGGAATCGTGTGGAAATGTAAGATGTTGAAGTGTGGAGGATGATTTCACTGCGCAGGCGCAGCGTTTTGTGAGATCCGCAGTTTGCTGCGCAGTTCCATTGGGAGTAGCGTTTGGAGAGTCGTTTTTTTGGGGGTGTTGGATGTGGCCGTGCCATTGGGATCTACGTTTCAGGGTGTGGCATCGAAGCTCTGTTTTCGTGACAAGTCTCAGCTGAAATGGCGATTTTGGTGGATGGGCGTGTGCTCAGAACGGGTTGAAATCATTCCAAACGTGTGGTGTGGTGCAAATTTTGTGGAAGCGCACATGAGATGATATTGTCACTTTTCGTGGCAGGCGCAGTACTTTGTGCGGGTTTTGAGATGTGGAAGTGCGATTTTCGTGGCAGGCGCAGGGAATCGCGAGGTTGTGAGTTGTAGTAGAGGTGAATCTCGCTTTCACATTGGGATTGGCTTGTGAGCGGGTGTTGTTTGGAGGGGCTGGAATCGCGAAACTGCTTGGCAGGACTGCGTGACGTGTGTGCTCCGATGGGTGTTTCCGCTTGACTTTTGGAGGAAGTCTCGTATGAAACGCTCGTTTTGCAGACTTTGACATGTGAGTTTTTGAGGAAGTCTCGTACGAAACGCTCGTTTTGGAGACTCGACGTGTGGCTTTTTGAGGAAGTCTCGTACGAAACGCTCGCTTTGGAGACTTGACGTGTGACTTTTGGAGGAAGTCTCGTACGAAACGCTCGTTTTGGAGACTTGACGTGTGACTTGTGGAGGAAGTCTCGTACGAAACGCTCGCATGATTGCTTCTATAGTGTGTGGGCAGACCGTGTGGCGACACGCCGTTCGTGATGTCGCAGTGCCATTAGGACCAGGATTAGCACGGCCTTGGTGGAAAGTGTGTTTGCGTGGCGCCGTGCCACTGGGGAGCGCGAAACAGGCTGGCGTAAACGCGGCGTGTCGCTGGTGAATGGGATGATTTGTGGTATCATGTGATATGTTTGCTTCAAGTGTGTGGGCAGACCGTGTGGCGACAAGACGTTCGTGATGTTGCAGTGCCATTGGGATTTGCGCGGCCTGGGTGGGAAGTGTGTTTGTGTGGCGCCGTGCCACTGCGGGGCGCGAAACAGGCTGGCGTAAACGCGGCGTGTCGCTGGTGAGCGGGATGTTTTGTGGTGTCATTTGACATGTGACATGTTTGCTTCTAGTGTCTGGGCAGACCGTGTGGCCACGCGACGTTCGTGATGTCGCAGTGCCATTGGGATTTGCGCGGCCTTGGTGGAAAGTACGTTTGCGTGGCGCCGTGCCACTGGGGAGCGCGAAACATGCTGGCGTAAACGCGGCGTGTCACTGGTGAGCAGATGATTTGTGGTATCAAGAGTGCCCCGCAAGAGCTTCCTACAAGAGTGACCCACAAGAGTGCCACAAGAGTGTCCTGTAAGTGTGCTCCTCAAGAGTTTCACAAGAGTGTCTTGTAAGAGTGACCCACAAGAGTGTCCTACAAGAGTGTCTCACAAGAGTGTCCCACAAGAGTTTCCTACAAGAGTGTCCCACAAGGAGTGTCGTACAAGAGTGTCGTGTAAGAGTGACCCACAAGAGTGTCCCACAAGAGTGTCTCGCAAGAGAGTGTCCCATAAGAGTGACCCACAAGAGTGTCCTACAAGAGTGTCCCACGAGAGTGTCCTACAAGAGTGTCCCACAAGAGTGTCCTACAAGAGTGTCCCACAAGAGTGTCCCACAAGAGTGTCCTGTAAGAGTGTTCCACAAGAGTGTCCTACAAAAGTGTAATTTGGACATATGTATATAGCTTTTCGAACGTGTTTGCATTCGGGTTCGTGGGCTCCATCTTGTTTCTTTTAAATATGCGATTTGCTAGCGAGGGCAGCCAATGATTAAAGCCTTAGCAGCAAGGCCAGAATATGGCAGATAATTATTCACTAGTCACAACAGCTATGGCCTCAGCTAGCTGGAGTCGCTCTTGCTTTAGCAAGCTCCCCACCCTCCGGGTTCAACTCACGCCTTCCCCCCTGACCGTTTCTCAGTTCCCTGACCGTTTGTTTGTTCGTGTTGTCTCAGTCTCTGTCTCTCTCTCTCTCTCTCGCTGTTTGTTTCAGTTTGTTTGCTTCTGTTCTTTTGTTTCTGTCTGTGTGTCTGTGTTTGTCTGTCTGTCTGTCTTTGTCTGTCTTTGTTTGTCTGTCTGTCTGTCTGTCTGTCTGTCTGTGTTTTTGTTTGTTTTTTTTGAGTTTGTTTCTTCTGCTGCTGCTGCTGCTGCTTTGTGGTCTGGTGTTGCTGCTGCTTGGTGGTCTGTTGCTGCTGTGCTTTTGCTGCAGCTATTGCTGCCTGCCGTTGGCTTGCTACTGCTGCTATTGCTGCTGCCTGCTTTTGGCTTGTTACTGCTGCTTTGCCTTTGCTGCCGGTAATGGTGCTGCTGCTGTTGGTTGGTGTTCTGCTGCTGCTGCTCCTTGATGGTCTGCTGCTGCTGCTGCTTGGTGGATTGCTGCTTGGCGGTGCCTCTTGCTCATCGTCCTCATCATCTGCATCAGCCAATTCCCAAAAGGCATTGTGGAGAAGATCCCCATGGTGGCTCATGAGATTGCCTCACCTACTCACCAGCTGATCAAGAGAGGCTATATCTTTCGTTCACCCCCCCTGGCCTCAGGTTATTCATGGTTATTCTATCTATTGCCCCAATTGGTTGACCTGCCAAGAGACGAGATTTCACCAATCACCCACCGGGTTGGTGGCTGATCTCACTGAGATTGGCATGGCCATGACCAACGTGAAGGACAACCAATGTCTCTAATACACAGTCGATGCACAATCGACGCAATCGGTCCCGAGCGGTGAAAGGCGAAGGGGGGATTTGGGGTGTCATTTTTGGTTGAAGAAGGATTATAGATCGTATAGATCCTAGGAGGGTGACAACCAGTTTTCAACTAGGACCTAGGAGATCTATGATTGGGTGTCATTTTTGGGTCGGTGTCATTTCATTTTATCATGGGTCATAGATCTTAGGAATCCAAGATGAAGTCAATGGATCCAAGATCCTTGGGATCCTATGGGATCACCTTCTACATGGATCTTGGATCGTCGGGGTCCAACTGCCTCCTCCTTAGATAAGGTGTTTGGACCCGCACGAAATCGGTTAGATCGAAGTGTCGAACACATCACCCTCTCGGGTGTGGATCCATTGGCAGAGATGCTGGATGTGATTGTTGGGTTCATGTGTTGTTGGCCAGGAATCTGCAGACTCTGTATGGCCCAAAAGAACACTGCCATCATGACATGTATCACCTCTCCTTGCCGCTGTTCAAATACGATCTATATAATTTCTTCACCGCAGCAGAAATTTCTCAGACGCGTGTCATCGCGCCCGTCCCACGGATCAGAAAGGGTCTTCCTGCACGAGTCGGACGAAACTTGTGGCCTCCCTTTTCGAAAGATATGAGACACCATGACGTGATGTAAGACACCGTTCGTCTGCCGTTTTTTTGTCAATGCAAGACCGATCTGCGACCAGACCCTGAAAATTTGTAGGCTTTTTGGGCATCGTTTGGGGCCTATACCAGACCCCTGTTTGGGGTGTCTATGAATAGAATAGCCCTTTAGAGGTCAAGGAGTGTCCATAAAACACCCCTTACCTGGTTTTGGTTAAGGTGATTTTTTTCACTATGCCTTCCGGTGAATATGTTTATTCATGTTTATTTTTTCCCGGCTTCCAGGCAAGCAAATCCAATCCAAGCTTATAGGGTCCAGAGAATCCTCAGGCGCCTGGAAGCGTCGGCGCATGCCGGCGCCCAGTCTCCGTGCAGCGCTAGCTGGCGGCCACGGCAGGAGCGCTTCGATGAGATTTGCGACAAGTACGACTTGCGTGATGGCGATGCTGCTGGAGAGGCGATTTTCGTTGATTTGCTGCCGATGGCGATGAGTTGAAGCCACCAGAATTCTGGCGCCTTTTTGCCACCACGATGCTTTATGACAAAAAAGTATTCACTCTGAATGTGTTCAAAGATGTCCGAAGCAGTGGTTTCTTTCCGTTCGAAGGGTGTTGCTAAGGTAAGAGAGTCATCAGTGCTGCAGAAATAGAGCGCCTCCAACGTAAAAGGGATGTCTCTCCCAAGCCAACTCTTGAAAAGTTGCGCTTTGATCTCTTTCAAATTCAACATGTGGCCCTAGTGTGCCCACCGGATCGCCTTACGTCTTCATGTTTCACCATGAAGTGCCCATCAAGTCTCACCATGAACCCCTTTCCGTGAGGATTTGGGAGCCCGTTCGCTTATCACGCTGACCTGCTGAGCATCCTTCTAGAATGTCAGCGCAGAATCACCTACGGTGTCGACCAAAGAGTATCTTCTAAAAATTAACTATGTCAGAGCAATATGAATCCGTGAACCTAACAAGTTGCAGTAGTAAGTTTCAGAGTAGATGGGACAGACATGGACAGACCACATGATGTCCTGAAAAGACGGGGTCCATATAACCCACCTGACCTCTTGGGGTTTGCGTCATCTACTCTCAATCCACTATACAAGCCTTGTATTAACATGTTCCACCGAAGCATCTCCTGAGCCTGGTGAACCATTGTGCTTGGAATCCCCAGAACCCCCTACTGTAAGATAAACGAAACAGCATTCACAGTCTACCAGCAAGAACCTGGAAGTTCCCTACCCTGAAAGTCAACTACAAAGAGAATGGTCTACCTGAATTCGGGAACTTCCTGAAAGCGAGGCTATAGTCGAACTCGACTTCTAGGACCTTCAAAAGCGGGACATGAGCCTAGAAAGAAAAACCGCGAACACCAGACTGGACAGTCAGACCCGGCGCGTGAACGAGTCGTCGCATCAAATCATCCTCGCTCGAAAAATCATCTGCGCAACGCCCCAGATGCGAGTCCGACACTGGACCCATTTGCCACGACTAGGTCAACACAAGGTACCCTAAGAATCCAGGCTCGAAGCAACACATGGGGTTTTGAGGGTCTGGACCCCTGTCATGGAGGGTCCTTAAGGAACGTATACCCTCATCGCTGCGACATGATTTTGACGACCAGCTTCAGCCCCTATGTACATCCCGAAACCACTGTGGCCCCGAAACAGGCAACTGAAACACAGGCACCATAAGAGTCCGAGAAATTCGAGTCGATTCAGCGCGAAGATTCAGCGCTGGCCACGAAGGTGTGAACTCCTACAGCCTGGAGGGAAAGAAGGATTCAATTCGGACGGATCATCCACGACATGTTTCTGCTACTTAAGTGGAAGACACATTCTCGCGGCTAGTAACGGCTAGTAAATCTGAACATAAATGAATATATAATATATTAAGACTGGCATGTTTTTGGCAAAATCGATGAAGTAGTGGCACAAGAGGTGCCTTTGCCTTATCACCGGGTGCAAAAGCCATCAAACGGTGATCCCAAATGCGACGGCCGGCTTAACGGAAATGAAAGCACATAACTCCTCTGAGAGACCAACAAAAGGCACACTTCCACTTGCGAAGAGCCTCTTTAGATCTTACCAACCAATTATACATCGAACAGTCGTACTCTATATTCTTCTTTATTCTATATAGTCGGAGTTTTCTTCAGCTCAGGGAACCCAACAAGACTGTCTTCAAGACTTCTTGGCTTCACAGTGCTTCACACCCTATGTTCAACGAAGAGACTTGTCCACCTTCAAACAGTCCGCAGGTCGCGGACTGGCTCACGTCGGGTGAGTGACTTGGGCAGTGACCAGGCGGCGGTAGGTTTGATATGGTCGTTTCCCATGTTTGACCAAACACCGGTGGTGTTTGGAGTGGTAAGATATATGACTCTGTGACACATACCTGGAACTTCCACGGGTGTATTTGCTTTGCTGTTTGGCAAAACAACATAAATTTCAATCGTTTGCCATCAAAAACGCCGTTTCATTTCAAAAGTGCCGTTTCGATGTTGCTACAGAGGTTGCCAAAATTGTGGTCGGCAATCATCGCCGTTTGTTTGGTTGGGGAAAGTGGCCGTTTGTTCGGGAAAAGTCGCCGTTTCAGAACCTCGACTTAGCATAGAAAACATTTGGAGAATCTCAATGCAAAAAGTGCTTCAAGACAAAATAGTTGGCGTTTGCTTGAAAAAGCAGCTTCTTTTTCAAAAGGCAGAACAAAAAGGCATAGCTATGAAGACGCAGGTATAATTAATATATGGATACTCTAGGTGAATTCAGGTTGAAGTTTTGCTTTAGCTCGTGCTCTCACAAGAGCTTCTTGTGATGTTACGTTGCTCAGGTGGGACGTGACCCCGAAACGCGTGGCTCAACGCTTCAAGATGGAGGAGGAAGATGCGCAGGCAGCGGATTCGGGGCGCTTTCTCAGTGTTTGGGTTCTTGTGAGTATGGAAGTGCCACATCGACATGCCAAGTGGCTCCGTGTGGCTCAACCAGAGAACTGGCGCGACATGAGGGGCTCCGAATCTCTCCAGGTGGCTGGATTTTAGAAACAACGACTCCGGCCCCGCCCCCTAGGGTTCCGGTGTTGAGTATATATAGACCCTCAAATACAGAAAAGTAGATCCCCACAAAACATGTATTGGAACCCGTGCCACTGATGGTGATGAACCCCAAGTTCTTCCTTGCGCTGATGGTCATGGTTTTCTGCTGAACGCGTTCGAATGTTCAAGATTTGTATCACCCTTGGAGAGATATTCCCGAAGTGGTGGATGTACTCGACGGCGATCAACTCAGAATTGACTAGATCCCCTGGAAAAGGTGTGACAAATACAATCCTCGACCCTCTTACTGAAAAGGTCCACCCCTTGAGGGTGGAACATGATGGACATTTATCACCATCCGGCCACTGGGTCACCTGGCTGGACGGAGCCTCCATTACTTATAGGGATCTTCATTGGACATCCATTGGATGGACTTGGTAATATATAGTAAAACATATATATATAGAGAGAGAGAGACAAGTTTTTTGGCTATACTACAGATCCATTGGGCTATTGAGCTATGGCTTTGTGACCAATGGTCACTCGGGACCAAGCGTGTGTGTGTGTGTGTGTGTCTGTGTGTGTGCGTGTGTGTGTGTTTCTTGCATGAACTTGTTGTGTTATACAATGTTATACACACTTGTCGCTTTATCCATGCTCCTGGTGTCTTTGGATCACTGCCCCCAAACCTGCTCTTTCCCACTCACGGCAGAGACGCCTGTGCCACAGCAAGTGCCACACAGGTCTTCCTCGCGTGGATTGCGCAAGGCTTGGACTTTAAGGCCACTTCCAGAACTGCCCAGTGCCGTGAGCTTTGTTTTGGCTTCGGTGTGTCAATTGGGCATTGGCTCAGGATGTGGCCGATCCCCCCACACTGAATAAGACAGCAGCACACCCCATATTTTGCCCGAGATCTTGGCTGGTTCACTGGTTCCAGGCTTTTTCACCTGTGAAGCTCGCTACAAGCTGCCATGGTGATGCAAAGAACCCCTGAACATGTCAAACACCTTGTGGTGCTGCGATGGTGGATGCGACCTGCATTTCTGGGGTGTGACGTAAACAAGAAAACTCTTCGGACGCGGGGGTGTTGAGGGATGGGGAGAATTTGCAGGTGTTGATGACCTCAAACATGATCAAAACCATGGTGGGTATAATGTTCCTGAAAGAGAAAAGTTCTTCTCCAGAAGTTGACCTGTGTCCCCTCATCTCTCTCGTAAGCCAGGCAATGGGCCCGATGTAAGCCAAGCAGCTAGCACGGTTGTAGGTCCGGTTGTCTAGTTATGAAGGAAATTCCCGGTGCTCACGTAGCAAACTGGGTCTCACCAAGTGGACAAGTGGACCCGACCTCTTCGCTCGACACTCTACGCCATCTTGGCTCCCTCTCCGTCAAGGTCCGCAACGCCGAAGCCCAAGCCGCGGCCGCGGCCGTCGCGCCCTCGCCTTCACTGCTGGAGAGCTGAGCTGCAGACGCCGCGCGTGGACCCGGCGACTTGGAATTGAGTGTAGTGTAGGAGTTTCTGGCTCCTAGTAGCGATGGCTTCCAACGTAAAAGCGATGGCCTCCACCTATATAGTAGCTTCTTACTATAGTAGCGATGCCCTTTGTTCCTAGTAGCTTCTTGCTACCAGTAGCGATGGCCTCCAATGTAATAGCGACGGCCTCCACCTAGTAGTTTCTTGCTCTTAGTAGCGATGTCCTTTGTTCCTAGTAGCTTCTGGCTACTAGTAGCGATGGCCTCCAACCTAATAGCAATGGCCTCCACCT